ATCATCTCAATCACAAATAATCAATCTATTCCCATTGCACACATATAGTGTTCATAGAGACACAAAAATGAGTCATTACTTTATAGTGTGTGCACATATAGCTTGTGAAAACGTGTTTTTTGTCTTATTTTTTTAACACAGTGTTTTTAAAGCAGACTCCACTTGTATCTGATTCAGGGAATTAATTTAAACTGAAAATATTTTTAAATGAATCATTCAAGTTGTGCTCAAATGAAAAATTTAGGACAAGTAGTTTATATGTGTGCCTCAAGCTTAAGAAACAGCTCCCTATTCTCATTGTTTGTCACAACAGGGGGTTTCAATGGATGAATGGCTTTGAGATCACATTAAATGCCTTGCAGCTTATCCAGATGCTGGAATAAAAATGTAGAAAACAAATATGACCTTGTGGAAATCAGCCCTTCATGAATCTAGGTGCAAATATCCACTTCAGGGTAATAAAAAAAATCCAGGACTACTAGACCGAACAATGATGCCTCACTTTTCTTAATCATAATTTCAATCATTCTAAGAGTAGGATAAAGCCAGAATTCAGACAACAGTAAGAGGAAATAAGTGAATGCCTTGATCAGTTTTCAATCTTCCGAATTCTGACATTATATAGTTCTGATAAATGCGATTCTTATTTTTCCACACATAATATCACTGAAAAAAGTGATTATATTAGCTTTACCTATGATGAAAAATACAAGAAATATTTAAAACTTCCCAAAGTCAGAGCACCTTTTGTTATATATATTTTTTACATTAATAAACTGCACTGTCTCTTTTTATTTTTATTATTTTTATTTTTTTAATTATTTTTATTTTTATTTTATTTATTTATGATAGTCACAGAGAGAGAGAGATTGGCAGAGACACAGGTAGAGGGAGAAGCAGGCTCCATGCACCGGGAGCCCGATGTGGGATTCGATCCCAGGTCTCCAGGATCACGCCCAGGGCCAAAGGCAGGCGCCAAACCGCTGCGCCACCCAGGGATCCCTGCACTGTCTCTTTTTAATATGCAAATCTAAATTTATCTAGTTTCCAAGATTTCCTGAATATATTTTTGGGTGAAAATATTTTATACTTGACTTTCTTAATAATGCCAAGAAAATTTAAATTTATTTTTACTCTTACCTTATCATTATTGAACCTGTGTCCAGGTAACAAGAGTTAGTTGTATAATCTAGGAAAATCATACTTTGGAGATTTTCATTGAGTAATATCAAAGACAGGTGTCAAATGGAAATTGCTGTTTTCTTAACTGTGCTAATGGTTCCTCTTTATTCGGTTGAATAATTGAGCTTTGGGTGCAATACTTCAATGTCACCTAATATTTTTTCAACTTGCAGCAAAACTGTTGGCTCTCCTAATCTCCAGACAGCATCTAATAGGCTAACGTGAATAGAGCAGGAGAGAGGTTGGGGGAGTGGGGGGAAGAAAGGGAATCAGACAAACAAACAGGAACAAAGTTTGTTTTGCCTGCATAGATAGGTGTGAAAAGAAAGACATGCTACATCCAGAAGTTTCTGGGAAGAGTAGCTTGCAGTATTTTCTCTCATTCTATGACCCACTAAAATCTGATTTTCTCCTCGCTCAATTTTTTATCTTATTTTTAAAGCATTCTGTTGTTACTCACATTCCTCAGCCCCTCCTAGAAATTTACTACATTCCCATCTGATATGAAGCTATCCCTATCCATTTACATGGATTATTCCGATTTTCTGTTCATACAGAATTTTTGTACTTTTCAACAGCTTAACCTCTCAGTCTCATTAGTTCTCCCTCTTAAAACTAGTAATAGAGGCTCACATCTCTAAAGAAAAAGTCAATTAAAAAGTAAAAGTCTCGGGCAACCCCGGTGGCGCAGTGGTTTAGCCCCGCCTGCAGCCCAGGGCGTGATCCTGGAGACACGGGATCGAGTCCCACATCAGGCTCCCGGTGCATGGAGCCTGCTTCTCCCTCTGCCTGTGTCTTTGCCTCTCTCTCTGCATCTCTATGAATAAATAAATAAAATCTTAAAAAAAATTAAAAAAAAAAGTAAGTCTCAAAATTTCCTTTCTCCCAAATGGAACAGAAATAGCCAAAAAAAAAAAAAAAAAAAAAAGACTAAACAAGAATGGAAAATGTTTACGCGGACAGCTACCAAATCAAACCAAACCAACAACAACAACAACAAAATGCAAAGTATAGTTAACTTCAAACATGTCCTCCAACACCCGCCACGGAGAGGGCCGTCCAGAGAGGGGGCCGGAAGTGCCGGGTCCCGCCCGGAACTAGTGCTGATTGGGTGCACGTGAGCGGTGACATGGCGGCCCATAAAGGTGGACTGCATCCGGGTCAGGGATCGCACAGCGGGACGGCAGGGTCGTCTAGCCCTGAAAATCCTAAGCAAGAAGGTGAGAAAAGGGCTCAGCAAAGTAGACCAGAGGCATCGCGCTAGCCAGCTCCGAAAGCAGAAGAAAGAGGCGGTTCTGGCAGAGAAGAGACAGCTGGGCGGCAAGGAGGGTCCTCGTCATCAGGTACTGGTGGTGCCCCTCCATGACAAGATTTCCCTGCCAGAGGCCTTTCGGTTGCTTCAGGATACAGACACCGGAACAGTACACTTGAATGACTGCGGAAGTACCCATCGCTTTATGTTGTTATGCCCTCGCTGGAAACATCGGTGGTTTTTCACATCATCAGCAAGGCCAGGGGATCTGCACAGTGCGTTAGACATGGCTGAAGTGGCGGATACCATCCTCTTCCTCCCTGATCCACTGGAAGGCTGGGACAGCACTGGGGATTGCTGCCTTTCCTGCCTCTCTGCTCACAGCCTTCCCGACCTATACGCTAGCTGTCCAGGGCATTTCTGCCCTCCCACCAAGGAAACAAATAGATGCCAGAAAGAAGCTAAGTAAAACAGTAGAGAAGCGTTTTCCTAGTGACAAACTTCTTCTCTCAGACACCCAGCAGGGGGCAGAGATGCTGCTCAGGCAGTTGGCCAACCAAAAGCAACGGCAGCTTGCCTTTCGAGATCGACGGGCCTACCTGTTTGCTCACGCTGCTGACTTTGTGCCGAGTGAAGAAAATAACTTGGTGGGCACCTTAAAAAATCTCAGGCTATGTTCCCGGACAGACTCTGAATGTAAAGAGCTTGCTGCATATCATTGGACAGGGTGATTTCCTGATTTAACAGATAGATGCCCCTATGGACCCTTTCCCTTTAAATTTTAGAATGATCAAATCCCAAAAGGACCCGGGTGTGGCAATGGAGATTTGTGCTATGGATGCTGTAGCTGATATAGAGGAAGACCTTAAGGTCCTAATGAAGGCAGACCCTGATAAACAAGAATCTTTGCAAACAGAGGTTAACCTAGATCCAATGGAGGGGGAGCAGACCTGGCCCACAGAGCAGGAGCTGAGTGAAGCAAATGACTTCTTGAAGAAAAGTTCCAAGGTGGTAAAGAAGGTTCCCAAAGGGACATACAGTTAACCAAGCTGAATGGATTTTGGATGAGGATGGTGAAAGTGATGGGGAAGATGAATACGATGATGATATGTAATGTGAGGATTTTATTGAAGAGAAATTTCAGGATGAGGGCAGTGAAAAGGAAGACGAGGAGGAATATGAAACTATGACTATGGGAGAGTCCGTCCATGATGATCTGTATGATGAGAACGTGGATGATGAGGCTGAGGAAAAAATGTTGGAGAAATATAAACAAGAAAGACTGCAAGAGATGTTTCCAGATGAAATAGATACCCCCCGCCCCTGGTGATGTGGCTGCAAGAATTCGATTTCAGAAATACAGAGGCCTCAGATGTCCCCCTCTGGACATCTCTGTGGGATCCTAAGGAAAACCTTCCTCAAGAATTATGCTCGGATCTTTCAGTTTCAGAACTTTACTAATACTAGGAAATGCATTTTTAAAGAAATTGAGGAAAAAGAGGTTGAAGGAAGGAGCTGAGGTTGGCTGGTATGTCACACTTCACGTCTCTGAAGTTCCTCTCTCAGTGGTTGAGTACTTTAAGCGAGGAGCACCCTTGATTTCATTTTCTTTACTACCTCATGAACAGAAGACATCAGTACTGAATATGGTGGTGAGCTGGCACCCTGGCAACATTGAACCTGTGAAAGCCAAAGAGGAGCTAATCTTCCACTGTGGGTTCAGGCACTTCTGAGCCTCACCTTTATTCTCTCAGCACACTGCAGCGGATAAACATAAATTTCAGAGATCCTGACTGCTGATGTGGCCTTGGTGGTAACAATATATGGCCCAATCACATTTCCTCTTGCATCTGTGCTGCTTTTCAAACAGAATAGCAATGGAATGCACAGCCTCATCGCCACAGGCTATCTATTGTCAGTGGATCCAGACAGAACGGTCATCAAGAGAGTTGTTTTGAGTGGTCATCCTTTCAAAATTTTTACTAAGATGGCAGTAGTGCATTACATGTTCTTCAGCAGAGAGGATGTGTTGTGGTTTAAACCCGTGGAACTGAGAACAAAGGCCGCAGGGGACATCAAGGAGGCTTTGGGTACTCATGGCCACATGAAGTGCAGTTTTGATGGGAAGCTAAAATCTCAGGACACAGTACTGATGAACCTCTATAAACGAGTTTTCCCCAAATGGACTTACGATCCATATGTACCAGACCCAGTACCATGGATGAAAAGTGAGATTTCTTTAGCAGTGCCTGAAGTGGACATGGAGTGATAGATTCATTGAGATTCTGTCTCATTGCTACTAGTGAACACTCTAGGGATGGGAGCCTATAGGTTGTAATTGGGCAAAGTTTGTGTTTTCTACTTTAGCCCAGAGATCTGCTGCCTTTTTTGCAAAGGCTTTTCTTGGCCTTGACAAAGTGTCTCAGTAAACTATGGATGTTTTTCTCTTGCTAGTTAAAAAAGAAAAAACTATTTACTGAAACATCCTCTCCATTAGGAATTTGAAAGCTGTTTAAGAGAGGAAGATAGGAAGTTAAAGTAACCAGGAACCAAATTTTCCAAGTGTCTAGAGACACCGAATCCAATCTCTTGCATAAACTAAACAAACAGATTGATAAGGAGTTGGCCTTTCAGCCTGCTTCACCCAAGTTAAGGAGGCTAAGTCTACATTTCCACCACTGAGCACAATACAAATGTGCTTTACTTCTGGGGAAACTGTTTGAAAATGCTGAGACAGCACAGCGGCCACTCCAACACCAGCTGTAGGTTCAATAAGCAGTTTCATCCTCTCCCACACCAGCTGGGTTGCATACTGTTGGTATGGAAGGGAGTAAGAATTAATGAAATGGGAGTAGGGGAAAGAGCCTAGATGATTGGCCTTTACAATTAAAGGCCAAGTAAGGTTATATGCCCAGTCTGACTTCTTTTTGGCCAATGAAGGGCAGGGCTTTTTTCCCCATCCTAACTCAGCTTCTACTGTTGAGAGGGTTGTTTTAATAAATCTGGGGCACCCTCCCACACATCATGAAGTCACTTAGTCAAGTCCCCAGGGAATAAGTTGCTACTTATAACAGGGGAAGATTCTTTGGCCTAAGAAGTTGCTCCATTCTTTCGTATTTTCCTATTAGAGCCTCACCTTAATTTCATCCTCTGTGACTGTGAAGACATCATCAACAAGGTTCCTTATAATAGGCCACGTGTTTAAGCCAATGCTGGATTTGACATATGCTATGGTTTCTGAAGGATAGGGATTGGGAGTCAGTTCCCCTTTCAGCTTGGACTGGTAGCAGTCATCTGCATTCAAGGGTTCAGCAGCATTTACCTTCACACTAGGTCTGAGAGCCTGGGAAGAGGAATATTAGACACCTTACAACTAGCCACAGCATTTTGCCTGCAAACCTATAGTTAAATAGGCAATACAGGTAATTCAGTTCTGTTCAAGAGCCTTTCTTTTAATAAAAATTAGGCCTTCAGCATTTTAAATTGTATGCCTAATACTACCCATTAGATGTTGCTTGGGTCACATCTGGTTCTAATGGTAACTAGGGAAAGAAGTAACTTCTGACTTGGATAGTGAGTTGTTGAGGTGTAATTCAGAGAAAGGACTGTAATTGCTTTTTGCCCTGTAAGGTTGCAAAAGATTAAGAACAGGGCACAGAAGAGCCTTCTATTTCAAGTGCCAAGGATTGATGGGAAGGAATAGCAATTTGGGGGGGGGGTGTTGAGCCAAGTATCCACAATGTACTACAATATAAAATAAAATTCTCTATTCCTGAGAAAAAAAATTCCTCAAACAAATGAGGAAATGCTTTTGGACTGGCACAGAGAACCAGAGGAAGATTTCGTCCCTACATGCATTGACTCTCCAGAATCCACACTGTTGAGATGACTAAATCCATGAAGTTTCAAGGAATATTCCAAAATTTTCAGATAAATCAATAACATGGAAGTTTATATTATGCTTGGACTTTTGAAACTGGCTACAATGGGGAAAATAATGAAGTTTGAAAAGCAGACAATGAGTCTGACTTTCCAAGATGGAAATTAAATCTTGGCAAGGCAATCTACATCATAAGGGTATGGGATATAACATATAAGTTTATGGAATCCACCACTGTGTAAAAAATTAACCTAATAGAGGAGAGCAGAATCCACATATAATAATAAAACTGAAAACATCCTCACTAAACAAATCCCTACCATCTTACTATTTTGTTTAGCTCAGAAATGTCAAAGAGCACAAAGTTCCTAGCCTTCACAATAAAATTGAGGGAAAAATGAAACTGAGATATTATATAAAGGAAATCAAAAGATTATGAAAAAGTAAGCATGAATAAAGACATCCAAGCATGAATAAGATGAAAAGATAAAAAGCAGAAAGTATTTATTTATTTATTTATTTATTTATTTATTTATTTATTTTTTAAGCAGAAAGTATTTAAAATACTACAGTATACAAAAGGAAGAAGGAGAAGGAGAAGGAGAAAGAGAAGAAGAAGAAGAAGAAGAAGAAGAAGAAGAAGAAGAAGAAGAAGAAGAAGAAGAAAGTAAAAGATACAGAAAAAAATGATAACAGAAGAATTTAAGGAACCTAAGAAAATGTTGTTTTAAATAAAAGCACAAAGTCTTAAAGATGAGATTATAAAGCAAAATAATAATAAAAAGTAAAATTCCAAACTTAAGAAAACATATTGAGAACCAAGGAAATACCACTAAAGAGTTAAGTTAATTAAAAACAGCAATAATTACAACAGTACAGAAAACTGAATTATTGTAAAAAAAAAAGACTTTAAAAGCCATAGTGAATATGGATGAAAAATGACAAGTTGATTAAGCAGTTAGACATAAAGACATACATATGGAAGACAAAGGAAATTCAACATAAAATATAATCCATATTTCTGAAGCAGAAAAGTCAACAGATGGTAAAGAAGATTTATTCCACAATATACTCTAGAGAAATTTCAATTATGTTGGGGAACTTTAAAAATGGAGTTTTGATATCATGAAGCATGTCGCTCTGGGGACATTTAATACAGAATGTTCAGCATACCATATATTGTATATAAGACATTGTTCCCTGACTATAAAGAAATCAGTGAACAAAACAGAAAAAAAATCCTTTATTTCACAGAGCTTTTGTTCTTTTGGAAATATGGCATGAACTTGCCAACATCAGTGACAATTAATTCTAGATGATTTGAATAAGATATTTTCTATGTTATTCTCTGAACTTTTCTGTATTTCTAAAGTTTCTGAAAAAAAAAATCCATGAGTTGGCATTAATTTTTACTTACTCCCTTAGCACCCAAACTTTAGTTTCTCCCAAGACTACTTTTCTATTTACTGTAAATATGCTGGATCAACTTATTAAATATTTACATAGAATTTACCAAAATCCTACAGAGAGAAAAGAAGAACACTTCAAAAATATGTATATCTAAAAAAATAATTACAAGAATAAATTGTAGCATAATTATCTGGCTTTAGATTTAGCAGAGAGGCAATTGTAGTGTGTGGAATGTGGAATCAGACAGATTTTGGTTCACATCCAGCCTATACTGCTGAGTACCTGGATGACCTTGTGAAATTCACTTCAATATCCCATATTTTGGTTTATCTAACTAGAAAATTTGGGTGATAACATCTATGTCATAAAAATTGTGTAATATAAAGTATGCACTAGGTTTCACATTCTTCCTATAACTACAAGATTCAGTTAGTTTTTAATACTATTTTCATTTCCCCTTTACTTTTGTTTTGTAAGTCAAAAGTACATCTGGAAAATGATTTAGATGACAGTGTTGCTCAATACTGCATACACATTAGAATCACTAGGGAAGCTTTTAAAAATACACATGCTTGAATCCTATCACTAGGGATTGTTATATAATTGGTCTTGGGAGGGAATGAAGCCTCAAAACATTTTTTTCTAATTTCCCCAGATAATTCTTATGTGCAGCCAGGTTTGCGACCCGCATATTTAGAAACATTGCAAATGTTCTTGTCTCATTAGAGTATTTTTAATTTCTTTAAATTCTTTCATCTACATTTTGCTGCATTGTGTCTGCCCAGTAAGACATCCACAATCTATCAAATGCAAACTCTTGTTAATTTTACCTTCTAAGTAATTCTCAAGTTCATCTTCTACTCACTGTCCTTCATAAAAGCTCTCGCATTCATTATCTTCCACTTGGATATTAGTTTCCCAACAGCTATCTCTGTCCATGATTTCTCTTTTCAAATTTCTTTTTCATGGTAGAAATAGGACCTAACTCATCTACTAAATGTTTTCAATGCTTACTTATCATGCAACATGGAGCACAAGCTCTCTGTCTTGTCCTCCACCCACTTTTCTCCTGTTCAACAATGAGCATCATCTTTTGCCACTTCCACCACACAACCTGTGTTCAAGAACCATTAAGTTGTAGTGACATAACACTGTATGAAATGCTGTGTACATTTTTTTTGTGCTTATGCTGTTTCTTCTTCTTGAAATGACCTTCCTTTCTTTCTTTTCTAGGATAATCCTTTGAGATTTATCTCAGAAATTCAGTCCTGATCTTCATGGACCCTAAGCTCCATGTTCCAGGCAAAGAACTCATACCTTCATAAAATTCTCCTCGTATTAGCCACTTTATTAAAATTCTTCTATTAGCCTCTAAGCTCCTCAATGAAGGTATAGTGTCTATCCTATTTTTATATTCCCATTTTTAGTGTATTATCTGTGGTGATCAATAAATATTAATTGATTAAATTGGTCCAAGAAGCAGAAAAATATATCAGTGGAGACTTTATCCTCACTGTAAATGGCATTTAAGAACATTATTTTACCAAGCTTTTAAGAATATTTTAGTATTACTTATAGCTAAAATGAACTTTAGCATCACAACATACAGTGATGGAAATGTTGTACTCTATGTTTCCTGTGGTATTATTTGTGTCTTGGAATACATGGAATATACAAATTATGCAGGTCATACTGGTGACCTCAGCCAAGTTCTAAAGAAATTTGCAAATAGATTGAAGCAGTAACTCCTTAAATTGTGGCATTTCATTATGCTTATAAGTTAATAGAAAAATATTCACCTCAAATTAAGTCAAAAATATTTTTGAATCTGTAAATTGAAAGTATATTTTTAAATGTCGTACTTCTCAATTTTTTTAATAATAATGGTGTTTCAACAAGGAGCTCCATTAACAATTTATATCACTTTTTCAAAAGTTGCCTTTTCTGCTCAAAATATCTTTGCTTAATTATTTTTTTGCTTAATTATTTTGATCATGAGAAACAAATTTTTATAATGACAAATTATCAAAAAGCAGAAATAAAAAATTAACCAGATTTTTTTTTGTATATTTGAATAGCTAACTGGAGAACTAGTTCTGAGACTCTTGTTTCATAATTGATTTACACAGTTGTGACAGATACATACATCATATTCAGTTTGCTTCTTGAAAAATCTTGACTTTTCCCTACCCAGCAGGTTTCTGCCTTGCCTAAATGACACCCATGGCTTGAGTTACCTAACACAACGAACATACAGTCGTCACAAAGAAAGAGTGTAAGAAGTATTCCACAGGCATAAACTTGATAGGATCATGTCAGAAATGGCAACTCAACAGATTTTAAGAATTGGAGGCCATCTTCTGGATCTTAATAGAATGATAATGCTCAACTTCAGTTTGGTACATTTGCAAGCAACACAATCTGAGATCTCACATAGATTAGAAAGCTGAAATATGACTTGGAGAGCTTGAGATGATGACCTCTTTAGGGATTCAGCACTTCCACTGTAGGGCAAGTATTGTGTCAGCGTCACAGTATCCAGGCCAATGATTTATTCTTGACACTGAAGTCTCATAATTACCTACTATAATTCCAAATGTTGTTACATTTTTTTTTCAGGTTGTAAAAATGTTCTTAATGTCAGAATTGATTACTTGATAGTTTCCCTACATCTTTTATGGTTGTAAAATGCAGAATTTTTTTTTAATTTTTATTTATTCATGATAGTCACAGAGAGAGAGAGAGAGAGAGAGAGAGAGAGAGAGAGGCAGAGACACAGGCAGAGGAAGAAGCAGGCTCCATGCACTAGGAGCCCGACATGGGACTCGATCCCGGGACTCGATCCCGGGCCTCCAGGATCGCGCCCTGGGCCAAAGGCAGGCGCCAAACCGCTGCGCCACCCAGGGATCCCTAAAATGCAGAATTTATTTTGATAGTGCAATCAGACATTTTGCTTTCAGTGTATACAAGAAAGGTTTATATATATATATATACATATATATATGTATATATATATATATAAAACTGCCAATTTTCTTAGAATCTATTTTCATATTCAACAATCCAGTCTCTATAGTCAGTTATAAAATGTCTTATATCATGGTTGTGACAAAGTCTTATTTTTGGTAGGACACATAGTACTTTCTGTTCCCAAATTACCACAAATAGATGTCAATAGAGACAAGTTTAGTTTTAGACATTAATTTATCCAAAAATTACATTTAAGGAACCACTTTGTGATTTTACCAGCTTCCTTCTGAAATTGATAAGTCTCTTAGGGAGTGTTAAGATTCCTACCACGTTTGTAGACCCTAAAAATAGTAAAAGTGGAGGTAGCTCAGTGTAAGTTCACCTATGATTAAGATATTGAGAAAAGAATCTGTATTTGACTCATAATATATTCTAATGGAATTATTTGATATATGAATTGAGATATAAGTATAATGGTTTTATTACATGTAACATATTGAAACAAAACTTTATGTGCCCCCAAAAAGAAATAAGCAAGTGAATCATTATGCATTCTTATAATGAAATACATGTTTTCATTAAGATGTTATTTATCAAGGGATGGATGATATTTAAATCAATATAAAGCAGAACACAAAATTGGATATCAAAGTATCCAAAATATATAAAGAACTTATACAACACAGCATACAACAAAATTGGATATTGAAATATCCAAATTATATAAAGAATTTATACAACACAGTGTACAACACAACATATAAAAACAAATGACAACAAAAAGCAAATAATCCAACTGAAAAATGGGTAGAAGACATGAACAGATATTTCTCCAAAGAAGACATTAAGTACACAACTTTAAGCTTCTACTTAGGACAGTAGAAGATAGGATAGACAGTATACAATGACAGCAGCATGAAAAGATGCTCAGCGTCACTCATCATCAGGGAAGGGCAAACCAAAACCACAATGAGATATCACCTTACACTTTTCAAAATGGCTAAAATAAAAAAACACTAGAAATAAGAAATGTTGTCAAGGATATGGAGGAAAAGGAATCCAAATGCACTGTTGGTGGAAATGAAAATTGGTTTAGTCATTGTGGAAAATAGTGCAGAGGTTCCTAAAAAATTACAAGTAAAATTATCATATGATCCGGTAATTGCACTGATTTGTTGGTTTGTAAAACCAACCAACCAACCAACCAACCAACCAAAAAAAAAAAAAATTATCCTGTTATTTTCTTATTGGGTATTTAACCAAAGAAAATGAAAACATTAATTTGAAAAGATATATGCATTCCACTATTTATTGCAACATTATTTATACTAGCCAAGATATGGAAACAACTCAAGTTACTATCCATAAATGAATGGATAAGGAAGATAAGTCATATACATTGCAATGACATGGATGTAGATAGAGTATTATGCTAAGACAAATAAGTCAGTTAGAGAAAGACAAATACCATATGATTTCACTCATATGTGGCATTAAGAAACAGAACAAATTAGTAAAGGGGAAAAAGAGAGAGAGAGAGAGAGACAAACCAAGAAACGGACTCTTGAGTATAGAGAACAAATTGATGGTTATTACCAGAGGGGCTTAAATGTATGATGGGGATTAAGAAGTGGACTCATTGTGATGAGCACTGAGTATTGTGTGGAAGTGTTGAATCACTGTGTTATAGACTTGAAACTAATATTTCACTGTATGTAAACTAACTGGAAGTAAAAACTTTTAAAAAAGAAGATATGGCATACATGTACAAGGGAATATTACTAATCCGTAAAAGCAGAATGCTATCTTGCCATTTGCAATAACATGGATGGACGTAGAGGATATAATGCTAAGTGAAGTAATTCAGTCAGGGAAAGACAGATACCATGTGATTTCAGGCATATGTAGAAGTTAAGAAACAAAACAAATGCACAAACAAAGAAAAAAAGGGGACAAATGAAGAAAACACAAATTTTTGAATACAGAATACATACTGATGGTTGCCAGAGGGCAGGTATTGAGAGATGTATCAGATAAAGAGAAATAGAATTGCTGAGTCATGATACTATACACCTGAAACTGATTCACACTGTATGCTGATTATACTTAAATTTTAAAAGTACTAAAATATATATATATATGAATATGTAATAACACACAGAAAAAAGAAAATAACATAAAAATGCTATATAGTGATTATCTGTATCAGAAAATTATTGATTTATTTTATCCTTACCTGGACTTGTGCTGCTTTTTCTTTTTTTTGCTATAAATCATTTTTATAATATAAATTAGAAAACATTAATGCAGATAACATAAGATAGTGACAAAAATCAATATGCTCCTATTTTTGTGTTTTAAATTATTTCTATAATATATTTAAGTTGAAGGAGAAATTCTAAAAAATGGATAATACGTATGAACAGTACATTTTTAAAAAAAATTTTTAAGATTTTATTTATTTATTCATGAAAGACACAGAAAGAGAGGCAGAGATATAGGCAGAGGGAGAGGCAAGCTCCTTGTGGGGAGCCTGATGCAGGACTCAATCCCAGTACCCCAGGATAAGGCCCTGAGCCAAAGGCATATGCTCAACCACTGAGCCTCCCAGGCGCCCCATACATTTTAAAATACTTACTCATTTAATCCTCATAACAACACTACTGAGGCTGGTTCTGTTATCATGCATATTTTGCTGTTGAGGATTGGAGACACAAGACACCAGGTAAAGACGTAACCTATCTAAGGACACACAGTATTGGTGATAGAGATGGAATTCTAAAGTAGATGCTATTAACTACAATTTTACATTACCATTTATAATAACTATAGAAATTTTATCCACTTTTTAAAATTGACCAGTTAGTTGTAATTTTGTTGAATATTAAGATAGGCTTTGTTCAAAACTAAATTAGCATTTGTAAAACTAACCAACTAAAAATAAAATGATTCTGTCATTTTCATTCATT